CGCTGCAAATAAGCTTACATTGATTTCTATTCCCTCTGTAGGATTGTAGCGACTCAAGGCTCCTCATCAACAGTGCCTAAGGCCTATGAGATACATAAACCCTGTGCAAAGCTCTGTGCCTAGCCTGGCACCAATAACTGGGGAGAGCAAAGGCAGACCTAGCATAAGAAGCAGAAGACAAGAATTCCGGAGGAGAGGGATGGGTGCTCACAAGAATTCACCTAAAGACACCTCTGAGTCCCCCATGGGGCAGAAGCTGAGCAAGGAATTGGCTGGGCTACCTGGAGCTGTGAGTGGTGGTACATCCAGCGCAGGGCAGCCGAGGTCAGGCTGGGGGCGCTGCCACCATAGGTGGTATTCAAGGACTTCTTCACAAGGTCAATGCCCTTTAAGTAGTTTTCCTTCCAGAAGCTGTTTGGATAGGGAAGGAAGTGCAGGGGTCAATAGCTTTGTGTCACATGAGTGTGGTCTGCTCCCTGCAGTCCTGGGGACTGGTGGCAGAGGGTATCCCAGTTGCTGGTAAGCTTCCCTAGCCATGCAGGATTTCCTGACTTCAGTCATTGCCTCTTCATAGAATGGGTGTGGTGGCACACATCTTTAATCCCAGCACTAAGGAGGTACAGGCGGGAGGATTGGAAATTCAGGTCATCTTCAGCCACAGAGCAAGTTCAAGACCACCCTGGTCTACATAGCAAGTTCAAGACCAGCCTGGAATATATGAAATCTTGCTTCAAAAAAATTTTTTTTTGAGCTGGGCGTTGGTGACCCATGCCTTTAATCCCAGCACTCAGGAGGTAGAGGCAGGCGTATCTCTGTGAGTTCAAGACCAGCATGGTCTACAGAGCAAGTTCCAGGACAACTTCCAAAGCCACAAAGAAACCATGTCTTGTTTTATAAAACAAGGGCTGGAGAGATGGCTCAGAGGTTAAGAGCACTGACTGCTCTTGCAGAGGTCCTGAGTTCAATTCCCAGCAACCACATGGTGGCTCACAACCATCCATTATGAGATCTGGTGCCCTCTTCTGGTGTGCAGATATACATGGAAGCAGAATGTTGTATACATAATAAATAAATAAATAAATAAAATCTTTAAAAAAAAGAAAAACAAAACAAAAAAATTTATTTTGCCTGCTCTTGGAACTCTTCCAGTTGGGTTGCCTTATCCAGCCTCTATATGAGACCTTTGGCCTTGTCTTACTGTATCCTCTTTTGTCATGTTTTGTTGCTGTCTCTTGGAGACCTGCACTTTTCTGTGGGGATACGGAGGGGAGTGGCTCTGGGGGTGTGTTCTAGAATATTCCTTTACATGGTAAAGATATGTCACTGTGATTGGTTTAATAAAGAGTTGAACAGCCAATAGCTAGGCAGGATTTCCAGGCACAGAAGATACTGGGAAGAGGAAGGCTGAGACACGAGGGGATGCTGAGATGGAGAACAAGCAAGACATGCAGGGGGAGAGGTAACAGCCAGGAGTCACGTGGTAGCACATAGATTAATAGAAATGGGTTAATTTAAGTTATAGGACCTAGTTAGAAACAGTCCTAATAGCTATCAGCCGAGCTTTCATAGTTAATAATAAGTCTCCGTGTGGTGACTTGGGAGCTGGCTGGTGGGACAGAGAAAGACTCCCTGCAGCTGGGGGAGGTGGGGGGGAACTGTAGTCAGGATGTATTGTGTGACAGAAGACTCTATTTTCAATAACAATACATTTTTTTTTTTTTTTTTGCCCAAAATGACAGTCCATAGTGACACATGTCACTTCAAGCACTTAGGAAGCTGTTAGAGGAAGAGAGAGAATAAGTTATGTGTTAGCCTGGGCTACATAGTGAGCCCTGTCTAAGGAAAAAAAGCATGGGACAGGAAACGATTTCCTTATAACTATCACTGTACATGCATTATAGTTGACAATCTTGCTATTTTTATTCTTTTTATGTTTTCTTAGTTCATTCTTTTCTCTCTCAGAACTGAGGGCTAACCTCAAGCCCGGGGCCTTACAGTTGCCACACAAGTGCTCTATCACTGACCTACATCTCCAATCCCATTTTTTTGGGGGGGTCGTTTTTCAAGACAGGGTTGATGGGGATGTCTTCTGTACATATGTTTCTCTTATTGGTTAATGAATAAAGCACTAGTGGCCAGGCAGGAAGGATAGGCGGGGCTAGCAGACAAGGAGAATTCTGGGAAGTATAGGCAGGAAGGAGTCGCATGTGAGCCCGGGAAGAGAGGCTGCAGGTCAGGCGTTCTCAGGTAAGATAAGCCCATGTGGAAATACATAGATTAGTAGTTATGGGTTAATAATTAAGACAGAGCTAGCCAATAAGAAACCCTAGCCACCGGCCAACACTTTCATAATTAATATAGCGTCTGTGTGTTTATTTGGGGCTCTCAAGGGTGGCAGGACCCTGCTGGGACAAAGAACCATACTGTGTAGCATTGGAGCCTGTCCTGGAACTCTCTATGTTTACCAGGTTGGCCTCAAACTCACAGAGATCCCCCTGCCTCTGCCTCCTGAGTGCTGGGATAATGGGTGTGTGCCACTAACACCTGGCCCCCTTTTTTTTCTTATTTCATCTTATTTGATTTGATTTCTGTATTGGGGTTATATGTGCATATATACACATACAAGCATGCACAGTTGTATGCACACAAAGGCCAGGGGAAAATGTCAGTGTCCTGGTCTATCATTGTCCATCCTACATCTTTAGAATAGGGCCTGTTGGGGCTGGAGACATGGCTTTGCAGTTCAGAGAGAGGACAACTCTTCCATACTACATGGCAGCTAAGAACCATTTGCAACTCCAATTTCAAGGTGATCTGTTGCCCTCTTCTGGCTTCCTTAGGCACTGCATGAATGTGATACACAGACATGCATGCAGGCAAAACATCCATACATATTACACAAACAAATGAACTGAGTCTCTTACAGAATCTGGGCCTAGGCTCAGCAGCAAGGAAGGCCAGTGATCCTTTCTCAGTTCAACACTGTACTAAAGGCATGCGAGCACTGAGAATGAGTTGTTCTGTGGGTGCTGGGATATGAACCCCCGGCCAGACACAATCCCCAACACAGCTCACCAGTCCCTGTAGAAATAATCCCATTTCTTCCCAAAGAGGCGGCTCAAGGGCTGCTTTCCGTTTTCTACTTCATATTTGTATTTGCCAGTCAGCAGGCCCCCTGCAGGAAGGCAGCAGTCAGATCCTGGCCCTGACTCCTCCCAGAAATAGCCAGGTCATTCCCTGCTAGGAACTGGAGAACAGGAGGGAACCTGGAGAGAGAGCACCAGCCATGCCCTTCTCAAAGCCTCCCACCTCCTAGGACCTGGACTGAGCATCCACTGGGGCATGCCTGCCCACACACCCACCCACAGGACCTGTCCCCATGGCAACCCATACCTGCCAAAGGGGTGTAGGCATAGAATCTCAATCCAAAGTGTCTGAGGCAGGGGAAGAGTTCTTTTTCCACCTGCCGGGTGGTGGCATTGTACATGCCCTGCAGGAACACAATTGGAGAGGGGAGATATGTCAAGAGACCCTAAATGCACCTTTGTAAAATCCCTCAGTTTAGTCCTTAGTAATTCTAGATCTTCACAATGAAGACATTCACATAGTACTGGTGGCAGGTGTCATAGTTATGCCCAAAGACCCAGGATTGATGGATCCATGGACCCCAACATCTAGATGGTCCTGGCACACCAGATTCCCCTCACCTGGTAGACAGTTGGCAGGATCCAGCCATTTTTCTTGCAGAGGGTACAGATCTCAGCCACCTCCCAGGAGGAATAGTTGGACAGGCCAAGCTCCACAAACTTGCCCTGCAGGGGAGAAACTCCATCATAGCCCAGTTCAGTCCAGGGGACCAGGAAGGGGAGCCTGACTGGGTGGGGAGCCTGGAGAGAGGATGTGTCCAGCCCTGCTGTGTGTCCCCAGCACTCACTCTCCAGGCAGGGTCGAGTTGAAAAGGTCAGAAAGCATCTCCCCAAGCTCAGGGGCCACCCTCACCTCCTGATGCAGCTGGTGGCAGGTCTTCAGTGTGTCTTCTATAGGGGTGCTGTGGTCTGGCATGTGTAAATAGAAGAGGTCCACCTGGGGACACCGCAGCCTCTTCAGTGATGTCTCCAGCTGGAACCGAATATTGTCAAGTGTGCTTGATGTCCCAAGGGTTGGAACAGACTTTGTGGCGATTTCCACTTTGGGGGAGAAAAATAGAAATTAAGAGGTGGGGGACCAGTTTTGTATGGAAAGTGCTCATGGTGCAAGTGTGAGCCCCATGAAAAAGGAGGGCTTGCCAGGGAGTTCCTAGAACCCATTTGCTGGGGAAAGAAGACAGGCAGATCCCAAGGCTCACTCTCCAGCCAGTCTACTAGAAATGGAGGATTCTAAGTTCAGCTGGAGAGTCCTTGTCTTAAAAGAGAGAGAGAGAGAGAGAGAGAGAGAGAGAGAGAGAGAGAGAGAGAGAGAGAGAGAGGTAGCCAGGTAGTGGTGGCACGCACCTTTAATTCTCCTCAGGCAGAAGCAAGAGGATCTCTGTGAGTTCCAGGCCAGCCTAGTCTACTGAGAAAGTTCCAGAACAGCCAAGGCTACACAGCGAAACCATTTCACAAAACAAGTGGAATTGATAGAGAAAGATATATATTTCTGGTTTCCAGATCCATGTCATCATGGGCAAGAGCGCACACATGCACAGACACACAGACCAACACACACACACACACACACACACACACAACACTCAGGCTTCTTTACTGCAACAGTTCACAGTAGAGCTGGCCCAGGTGTGCTACACTCTTAAATTTCACCCCTTGGTAAGGGGAGGCAGGAGAAACACCCCGGACCCAAATCATCATGGCCTAATTAAAGAAAGCTTTTTTATTTTTGAACATGGGCTGCCCCCCCTCCACCCCTAAGGTGGGGTTCCAGAGGTCAGCATTGCATGCAAGGAAGACAAGGCAGTTATAGCTCAGGGGTAGGGGGTTTCAAATGGGGAATCTGGCAGGCAGGCAAAATAAGGATTACAGGGACAGAACACAAGCATAACAAGTTAGTCCCTCCTGAAACAAAGACATGGTTGCAAGGTGGCCAAAACCAGGTAGTCATAGCAACCCTTCCTGGCTCTTCTCTCTCTCTCTCTGCTCCCTTCTCTTTCGGCTCTTTTCCAGCTCTCTTCCCACTTTCTCTCCTGCTGTTCCCCTGGGGCAGACAGGGCTTTTCCTGTCTCCCTCTTCTCTTCTGTCTCTCTGTCCCTCTGTCTCTCTGTCTCTCTGTCTCTCTGTCTCTTTACCTCTGTGCTCTTTCCTCCCCCTCCCTCCCCTTTCTAATAAAACTTCTCACTTAAACTCTGTCTGCCTGGTGTGTTTGTCCCTCTGACTTGGTCACCATTACCTGCCATGGAATCCACCATGGTCCCCCATCAAAGGTCCCCCTTCAAGCTTTACCCTGACAATTCCCGTCCTCTCCCATCACCCATCCCATATCCACCCTCTCAGTATTGCCAAATTTTGTTATCTTTGTCCCCATCCCCAAGCTCTCTAGAGTTGTTCTTAGTTTTCGCTCTCTCTTTCCTCCTCCCATCACTCCTCCCACTCCTCTTCCTTCTTGCCTGGAACTCAGAACGCCCCTGCCTTAGCAGCTGGAGGTATGCCAGAGGCACCTATTTGCTGGGGACTAGGTGGGAGAGGCTATACACTGGGAGATTGCCAACCCAACATTCTCAATGCCCCAGAGACAGGATAGCCCCCCATGGATTTTGACTGAGCGAGGGTTGACATCTTGTGGGAAGAGGGTCCTAGGCCACTTTTCTGGAAGAAGGGGAGGAGACTGTAGAGTTGTGCATAGCTAGCCTGCAGAGTTTATGGTTCTCAGACCTCTTGGGTGGACAAGGTGAGATCAGAGCCTCAGGTGTGGGGCGAGGTTATACAGGGGAGGAATCAGCCCTGCCCAATGCTGGTGCATGACAGGCATGACCCTTACCTTTGTGGCCGCTGGGAGCTAGCCCAAGACCCAGGCCTCCCAGGATGCTCTCCGACTGGCCTTCAGCATACACAAAGGCAGTGTCTATCTCGTTGTGGCCTCCCTGCAGGAAGGCCCGCACTACCGCAGCACTGGAGGTCACATCTAAGCTGTGTCCTAGCTCCATGGCACCCAACACAGTGGCGGGCAGGTTTTGTGACAGTGGCCGGGACATATCGGTGCCAAGTACGGGAAAGAGAGAAAGATGCAGACTATTATCAAGATTGAAGCCAGTAGCAGCTGCTGTAGCGGGGGCACAGGCACCTATTGCATTAAGTAGTAGCCTTCAGTGACCTCTCCCACTGGGGGCGGGGCTAAACGGAGGAAGGGCAGGAATGTGTTGGCAAAGTTGGGAACTCGTGCATCTGCCACCAGGAGCCTGGTGGAAGGTCCCCATGAGCTAGGCTGCAGACACCTCTAGGATTCCGCCTCTCTGGCCCATTCCTGAATTGTGCTGGGATAGCTGTACCCTCCTGGAAGGAGTTTAGCAGGTGGGAGAACCGTAGACCGCTGTCTTCTCAAACTTTAAGGAGAGAAGCACACTTGGCAAACGTTCACCACAGGACATCTTTGAAAACATTTATGCAATAGGGAATTTGTATTTACACAAAATGGGGCAGCGGGTAAATGGGAAAGAGCTTTTCTAGTGGCAATCTTTTAAAAAGATAGTTGATGTCAGTGTGGTGGTGTGGTGATATATTATTTATAATTTATTAAAAAACATATTGTTCTGGATGATAGAAGAGCTTTAGAAGAGAAAACAAACAAACAAACAAAAAACCAGGAGAAGCCATAAGTCACAATTGATAAAGATTAGATTAGGAAGCTCCCCAAAGTTAGGGTTGGGGAAGTTTTTGTTTTTGTCTTTCCAGGAAATTAAAAACTATCTTGAGGAAGTTAAAGACCTTTGGACAAATGCGCATCCAAAGATGAAGGAAGAGCTACCGGGAAAAAATTACCAAGAAAAGAAATAATTTGACCTAACTCGGTCTCTGAAGTCTCCAAAAAGAAGATTTTTACCAATCCGGGTGGAGGTTACACACACCTTTAATCCCACCATTTGGGAGGCAGAGGCAAGGGAATGAGTTTGAGGCCAGCCTGCTCTACAAAGTGAGTTTCAAGACAGCCAGGACTGTTAAAACAGAGAAAACCTCCTGGGTGTTGGTGGCACACGCCTTTAATCCCAGCACTCAGGAGGCAGAGGCAGGCGGATCTCTATGAATTTGAGGCCAGCCTGGTCTCCAGAGTGAGTGCCAGGATAAGCTCCAAAGCTACACAGAGAAACCCTGTCTCAAAAAACCAACCCCCCCAAAGTTGAACAAATGGGATTAGATTTAAGGTTTTTCCTTTTCTTTTTTTCTTTTTTTTTGAAAAAGGATACGGATACCATAGGATAAAAGGATAGATTACTGGTTCTACTCTTGAAAATAAAAAAGGGAGGATATAGATATGGTAAGATAAACAGGTAGATTATTGAATCTACCTTTAAAAAAACAACTACTAGTTTTAAATATTTTACATTGGATTAGACTTTTGCATAGTATATACAAATATTGTATGTTGATACAAATTTGGGAATAATGTTGTTGTTGTTTTGGTTTTTTGAGACAGGGTTTCTCTGTGGCTTTAGAGGCTGTCCTGGAACTAGCTCTTGTAGACCTGGTTGGTCTCAAACTCACAGAGATCCACCTGTCTCTGCCTCCCGAGTGCTGGGAATAAAGGCGTGCACCACCACCGCCCGGCTTAGCACTGTTTTTCTTACTCTTGATATTTCTTAAACAGAGTGTTGGCCTCTTCAAGGACCTCTGTTAATTTGTCACCAGCTTTCAGTATGCCAGCCTTCAAGGTTGCACCATCGGGTGCACAGAGTAAACAAAACTGGCATTGACCAACTGCACCCACACCCACACCTCCCGCCAGCCGGGGAATGCCACTGAGGTTACTTTATGGCAAAGAACGTGCCCTTACCTTGACTGCTGACAGTATGCTGTCCAAAATAGACAAACAGGACACAAAAAAGAGTGACTGTCAAATCTTGCCAAGACAAGGCTGGACAGCCCTTCAGGAAAATCCTATTTCACAGAAAAGTCTGTCAGAGATGCTAGGCCAATAGGCCAAAGATGGATGGCCTGTTGTAGAGGAACCTTGGGTGACTGTCCAGGCAGCTAACTGTTTTTATCATTTCTCACAGTTTTTGGAAGTTACCTGCCTGCTCACACTTCTTCTTTACTCAGTTAATATTATTTCCTTCTTGTGTCTCTGAGGGAGTTGAAAACAGGATAGTATAGTTATAGAAATATAGTTTAGAAATGTAAAGTGTAGAAGTCTCAGAGACATTAAAGATAATTTGATAGTGCAAATTAGAATAGAAAGTAAATTAGGTGCTGGGCGGTGGTGGCACATGCCTTTAATTCCAACACTGGGGAAGTAGAGGCAGGTGGATCTCTGTGAGTTCGAGGCCAGCCTGGTCTACAGAGCCAGTACCAGGACAGGCTCCGAACCTACACAGAGAAACCCTGTCTCAAAAAACAAACAAACAAACAAAAAAAAAAAGAGAAAGAAAGAAAGTAAATTAGGTACAAGACTTTGAACTCACCAAGATAGGATAGATAATGAAATATTTTCTCTGAATTTGTCAAATGCAAATGGACTAGATATTTCCTCTGAATTTGTCAAATGCAAATGGACTAGACATTGCTGATGAACTTATTGCCTGTATATATTGTATATACTTTCTTATGTTAGTTGTAGCCTTCTTTTTGTATTACATAAAAAAGGGGAATGAGGTGATATATTATTTATGATTTATTAAAGTTTGCCTGAGGATTCAGAAAGCAAAGTCAGCCATAAGTCATAAAATCCAGGTCCCCATCTTTAATCCCAGCAGCCAGAAGGTACACATCTTTAATCCTAGGACTCAGTATTAAGAGGTAGCCAGATTCCTGTGAGTCCAAGGCTACCCAGTTCTACATAAGATTGATCCAGTCCTAAAGAGAAACAGCTCACATAAAGATGATATCAGCAGCATTAGGGAGGTATATAAAACAGGAGCAAGGTCTCAGTATCAAGCATTCATTCTCCACCCACATTGAGGACAGGAAGGCATATACCAGCCACATTGAGGAGAGGCAGCAGTCTGAGTTTTGGTGAAGTGCTAGTGAGTCAGCCCTTTCACCCTGAGCTAGAGGTGAGAGCTAGTAGCCAGCTACTTTGCTTTTCTGATCATCAGCTTGAAGTTTGAACCACAATATCTGGGTCTTTCATTTTTTTCCTGTTATATGGTGGTTCATGCTTATAATTTCTGCACTCTGGAGGCTGAGGCAGAAGAGTGCCACAAGTTCAAAGCCAGCTGGAATCACATAGCAAGTACTTGGCCAACACCGACCAAGTAGCAAGGGGTGTTGTGGCCTATACCTGTGATTCCAGCACTCCAAAAACAGAGGCAGGAGAATCAACACAAGGTCAAGACTCCTGGGAAGTGTAGGGAATAACTGTTTCAAATGTCAAAATAGGGTTTGAGATTATAGCTCAGTAGATAGATTGCTTGCCTGGTCCTGGGTTCAGTACCCAGTGACTTAGGTAATGCCATCTTGTCCTGATTCCGATTTGTTTCCTTAGTCCAGTGGTTCTCAACCTTCCTAATGCTGTGACCCTTTAATACAGTTCCTCAGGTTGTGGTGACCCCAACCATAAAATTATTTTTGTTGCTACATCATAGCATAACAGTTTGCTACCTTTATATATTATAATGTAAATATGTGTGTTTTCCCACACATATTAAATCAAGAACACAAATTAAACCAAGAACAGATAATCAACTTAAATACACCTATAATCCCCAAGGAAATAGAAACAGTTATCAATAATCCCCCAACCAAAAAAAAGCCAAGTCCCAGATGGTTTCAGTGCAGAATTCTACCAGATGTTCAAAGAAGAACTAACACCAATACTCCTCAAATTATTCCACACAGTAGAAACAGAAGGAACATTGTCAAACTCTTTTTACCAGGCTACAGTTATCCTGATACCCTGATCTAGTTGTGTATCCTGATAAACAACTAAGAAAGAGAATTGCCGACCAATTTCCCTCCTGAACATTGATACAAAAATACTCAATAAGATACAGACAAACCAAATCTAAGAACACACCAGAAAAATCACTTACCATATTAAGTAGGCTCCGTCCCAGAGATGCAGGAATGGTTCAACATATGAAAATCCGTCAACAGAATCCACCATATAAACAAACTGAAAGGAAAAAACCACATGATCATCTCACTAGACCCTGAAAAAGCCTTCAGCAAAATTCAACACACCTTCATGATAAAGGTCTTAAGGAGAGCAGGGATACAAGGAACATACCTAAACATAATAAAGGCAACATACAGTAACCCAACAGCTAACATCAAACTAAATAGTGAGAAACTGAAACTGATCCCACTGAAATCAGGAACAAGACAAGGCTGTCCACTATCTCTGTATTTATTCAACATAGTACTAGAAGTTCTAGCTAGAGCAATAAGACAACAAAAGGAGCTCAAGGGGATACAAATTGGAAAAGAAGTCAAACTTTCACTATTTGCTGATGATATGATAGTTTACATAACTGACCCCATAAATTCTACCAGGGAACTTCTACAACTTATAAAGACTGTTAATAATTTAGCAGACTATAAGATTAACTCAAAATAAATCAGTAGCCCTCCTAGTTACAGAAGATAAAGGGGCTGATTAAAAAATCAAAGAAACATCACCCTTTGCAATAGCCACAAATAACATAAAGTATCTTGGGGTAACTTGAACCAAATATATGAAAGACCTGTATGTCAAGAACTTTAATTCTTTAAAGAATGAAATTAAAAGAATGTATCAGAAAATGGAAATATTTCCCATGCTCTTGGATAGGTAGGCTCAACATAGTAAAAATGGCAATCCTACCAAAAGTAATTTACAGATTCAATGCAATCACCATCAAAATCCCAGCATAATTCTTCACAGACCTGGAAAGAACAATAGTCAACTTCATATGGAAAACCAAAAAAAAAAAAAAAAAAAAAAAAAAAAAAAGGAAACCCAAAACAACCCACCCAAAACAACCCTGTACAATAAAAGATCATCTGGGGAACATCACCAACCCTGACTTCAAGCTCTACTACAGAGCTGTAATAATGAAAACAGCTTGGTATTGGCATAAAAACCAACAGGCAGACCAATGGAATCGAGTCAAAGACCCCAATATCAACCACCCACCTAGGAACACCTAATTTTTTTTACAAAGAAGCTAAAAATATAAAATGGAAAAAAGAAAGCATATTCAGCAAATGGTGCTGATATAACTGGCTCTCAACATGTAGAAGACTGCAGATAGATCTATATCTATCGCCATCACAAAACTCAAGTCCAGATGGATGAAAGACCTCAGTGAACCTCATAGAAGAGACAGTGGGAAATACACTTGAATGCATAGGCCCAGGAGACCACTTCCTAAATAGAACACCAGTAGTACAGACACTGAGAGCAACAATTAATAAATGGAACCTCCTGAAACTGAGAAACTTCTGTATAGCAAAGAACACATTCAACAAAACAAAACAGCTCCCCACAGAATGAGTAAAGATTTTCACCAACCCCACATCTGACAGTGGGCTGATCTCCAAAATATACAGAAACTGGACATCAAACTACCAAATAATCCAATTTTAAAAATGGGATACAGATCTAAACAATTCTCAACAGAACAATCTCAAATGGTGGAAATACACTTAAGGAAATAACTCAACATCCTTAGTCATCAGGGTAATCCAAATCAAAACAACTCCAAATCTGAGATACTATCTTACACTTGTTAGACTGGCCAAGATCAAAAACACTAATGACAGCTTACGCTGGAGAGGATGTGGAGTAAGGGGATCACTCCTTCACTGCTGGTGGGAGTGCAAACTTGTACAGCCACTTTGGAAATCAGTATGGTGATTTCCCAGAAAATTAGGAATTAACCCACCTCAAGAACTCTGCAATACCACTTTTGGACATATACCCAAAGGATGCACACTCACACCACAAGGACATTTGCTCAACTATGTTCATAGCAACATTATTCATAATAGCCAGAACTTGCAAACAACCTAGATGCCCCTCAACCAAAGAATGGGTAAAGAAAATGTGGTATATTTACACAATGGAGTACTATTCAGTGGTAAGAAACAATGACATCCTAAAATTTGCAGGCAAACAGAACCAGAAAAAAAAAAAACCATCCTGAGTGAGGTAACTCAGACTCAGAAAGACACATATAGTATGGACTTACTCATAAGTGGATACCAGACACAAAGCAAAAAATACCAGCCTACAATCCACAACCCCAGAGAAGCTAGAACCCTCTTCCAAAAACAGATGAAAGCAGATGCAGATATCCAGACCATTGGGTGGAAGTGCGGGAGGAGTGATAATATGGACAAAGGAGTGAAAACCATAGTTAGGAAACCCACAGAATCAGCTGATTGGAGCTAGTGAGAGATCACTGACTCCAGTCTGACAACTGGGGATCCTGTATAAGACTGAATTAGATTTCCTGAATATTGGTGACAATGGTGCGGCCACTGGCAGTGGGTTCAAGGTCTAACTCTAATGCACAAACTGACTTGGAGCCCATTCTATATGGAGAGATACCTTGCTCAGCCTAGACACAGGGGCAGGATATGCTTGGTCCTGCCTCAACAAAATGATGGGACAAACTTAGAAGACTTCTTAGAGGAGGCCTTACCCTCTCTGAGGAGCAGACTGAGGGGGGGAGTGGGGGAAACAGGAGGAGAGGAGGAAGGTAGAATTGGGATTGGAATATAAAAAGTAAATTAATAAATTTAAAAAATAATTCTCAAACTGTTGGAAAATACTAGTGGAGGGTTGTTGCCCCAGGAATATTAAACAGCCCTACCTTGTGTCAATATTTTGTACAACAGTCATTAGAGATAATGTAAACAGTTTCTTCAATCTACAATTTACCATTTTATGGGTGATATCTTACTAGCTGATTCAGACACAGACACCTTAAAAAAAATGTTTGATGAAGTAAAGAGAATTTTGCCTTGTTAGGGATTTCAAAGTGCTCCTGGAAAAATACAAAGAGATTCTATTAATTGCCTAGGATATAAGATAGGTTTACAGGAAATTCAACCACAGAAAGTACAAATCAGGAGAGACCAATTATGAGCTCTTAGTGATTTTCAAAGATTGCAGGAGATAGTTATTAACTGGCTATGGCCCACAATTAGATTAACAACTCAAGAACTGGATTTGTGGATAGGTATTGTTTAAATCTGGTTTTGTCATGGAATATCTTTTTTTTTAAAGATTTTATTTATTTATTTATTATGTATACAGTCTTCTGCCTGCATGCAGGCAGACGGCACCAGATCTCATTCAAGGCGGTTGTGAGCCACCATGTGGTTGCTGGGAATTGAACTCAGGACCTCTGGAAGAACAGTCAGTGCTCTTAACCGCTGAGTCATCTCTCCAGCCCCGTCATGGAATATCTTGTTTGTCTACGGTGATTAAAAGCTTTGCTGGATATAGTAGTCTGGGCTGGTATCTGTGGTCTCTTCCTGTCTGCATAACATCTGACCAGGACCTTCTGGCTTTCATTGTTTTCATTGAGAAGTCAGGTGTAATTCTGATAGGTCTGCCTTTGTATGTTACTTGGCCTTTTTCCTTCGTAACTCTCAATATTTTCTTTATTCTGTATGTTTAGTGTTTTGATTATGATGTCATGAGGGGATTTTATTTATTTATTTATTTATTTATTTATTCAGGTCCAGTCTATTTGGTGTTCTGTAAGCTTCTTGTACTTTCATAGAAATGTCTTTCTTTAGGTTGGGCAAGTTTTCTTCTATGATTTTGTTGAATATATTATCTGTGACTTTGAGCTGGACTTCTTCTTCTATCCCTGTTATTCTTAAGTTCGGTCTTTTCATGGTGTCCCGGATTTCCTAGATATTTTATGTTAAGAATTTGCTGGATTTAACTTTTTTTTTTGGACTGAAGAATCTATTTCCTCTATTGTATCTTCAACACCTAAGATTCTCTCTTCCATCTCTTGCATTCTGTTGTTGATGCATGCATCTGTAGGTCCTGATCGTTTACCCAGATTTTCCATCTCCAGAATGCCCTTGGGGTGTGTGTGTGTGTGTGTGTGATCTGTAGGTCCTGATCATTTACCCAGATTTTCCATCTCCAGAATGCCCTTGGGGTGGGTGTGTGTGTGTGTGTGTGTGTGTGTGTGTGTGTGTGTGTGTGTTTGGTTTTTCGAGACAGGGTTTCTCTGTGGCTTTGGAGGCTGTCCTGGAACTCGCTCTTGTAGACCAGGCTGGCCTCGAATTCACAGAAATCCTTTGCCTCTGCCTCCCCAGTGTTGGGAGTAAGGTGTGCGCCACCAACGCCCAGCTCATAAAGTTATTTTTAATACCGTTTTCTTCTGCTTCATTTGAGTTGGGAAATTCAGGTCTTGATGCTGTATTGCTCTTTGTGTTGCTGAGTGTGTTCTTGTTGTCTACCCATCTCTTCCTCCACTCAGTACAGCCTGTGCTTCAGGGGCCCTCTTCCTCCAGTTGGTGCAGATGGGGGCTGTGGCTTCGTTGATTGCTCCTTCAGGTACAGGCAGGACTGAACCTCTGGCGATGGCTCCTCCACTCGTAGGTGGGCTCAAGGCTCAGATGATGTCTCTGCATAGGCGGGGCCACGACTCCAGGCGGTGCTGCAGCTCTGGAGCGCTCCTCTAGGTGCAGGCAGGGATGAGGCTGAGGCTCTGGTAGTCAGATAGTTTCTGGCCACCACGAGGTACTGACGGTGACATTGACGCTATCTTCCCATGCACCCAGAGGCTCCTCTTCTTCTTTTTGGTTTTTCGAGACAGGGTTTCTCTGTATTGTTTTTGGAGTCTGTCCTGAAACTAGCTCTTGTAGACCAGTCTGGTCTCGAACTCACAGAGATTCACCTGCCCCCAGAGGCACTTCTTAAGATAGTTTCTGGAAGCCACTGTTGTTGATGCTTCCCGGTCTCTCTTCTCTCTCTCAGATGGAAACTTTCTTAACCCACTTAGTCATCCTGCTGGCCCAAGGGAAGCTTTTTCTTAGGCCTGATGTGGCAATACCTGAGTTAGCACAGAAGTGTCTGGCAACTGACTCATGCAGTAACCCTGAACAGTCTGTTTACATACCCCCGAGAAGCAATCACAGTCATTTGTTTGAAACTAATTACAAACTTTTTTTTTTTTGGTCACAGCCACTCCACTTAGGATTAGAGTCATTGTGGCATTTGTTTTGGACCAATCACAGACTGACCCCTCACACCACAGCAGTCCATCCACTAGATCGCCAAGGGAAGGGCTTCCCCCACCCCCACTTCCT